GCCCTTCTTTCATCCCATGATCCCGTGACTCTGCTGGAGCACTGGTGCAAGTAAAGGCCTTTGGGGTCAGTGCTATCATTTCCCCACAGAAAGGGACAAAGCAGTGAAAGCCTGTCGCAGTACCAGTGTTATGGATTGAACTTGGCCAGCTTTTCTGCTTAAGTTGTAAAAAATCACTTGAAATATCTTTCCCTCTGGGGCTATATGTTCTTCTACAGTTCAGCAAGGTACTTCTGGCAACATTTTTCTATTTCATCCAAAAATGATGGAGTAGAGTGTTACAAAATCTGGTTTAGTATTTGTCTTTTGTCTTGTTTTCTGTTAATGAAGTTGTGGACTTTTAACTTGCAGTAATTGGTGTTGTGGTTACCGTTTGGGTGATCGGGAAAGGCTGATGGTACATGCCAATGTTCATAGTCACACCATGAAAGACAGAGGCAAGAGGAAGTACAATAAGCAGATGCCATGCTTGCAAATCACTTCTAAATTGATAAATAACTTTCTTTTACAGCTGTCTTTCTGGACAGCTTTATGGTTTACTACATGTTTGTTTATTTCTAATGCTTGCCATTATTTTTCTTTCTGTAGGTTTTCAAAATGAAAATGAGCAGATGACAAAGTTAGGCATCATTTTCCAGAGATAAACAAGAATGAATGGGGGAAACCTTAAAATAATGAGTTCAGGGTGACAGGGGAAAACTTTAAATAATGAGTTCAGGGTGACAGGTGAAAACAGAAAGGCAAAACATACTATGTATGGTCTTTAATATGTTAAATATTAGTTTATGTGTGATGCAGTTGGCAGATAATGCCCACCACAGAAACTCACTGTCATGTGGGGACTGTGTTTCTTGTGTTAATGTCCAGAGAAGGACAACAAAGCTGGTGAAGGGACTAAAGCACAGGTCTTACGAGGAGCAGCTGAGGGAATTGGAATTGTTTAGCCTGGAGAAAAGGAGGCTCAGGGGAGACTTTCTTGCTTTCTACAGCTACCTGAAAGGAGGTTGCAGAAAGGTGGGCATCAACAGCTTCTCCCAGGTAAAAAGCAATAGGACAAGAAGAAATGGCCTTAAATTGCACCAGAGGAGGTTTAGATTGGACAATAAGAAAAACTTCTTCACCAAAGATGTTGTGAAGCCCTGGAACAGGCTACCCAGGGAAGTGGTGGAGTCTCCATCCCTGGAGTTATTTAAAAGTATGTAGGAGTGTTGCTTAGTGACATGTTTTGGTGGTGGACTTGGCAGTGTCAGGTCAACAGTTGGACTGGATGATCTTAAAGGTCTTTTCCAACCTAAATGATTCTTTGAGTCAGATGAGGAGGAATTTGATACTCTTGAATTACAAAGAGAAGTTTCCTTATTTCTCTGGTGCTATTTAAATGATATTTTAGTAATGATATAGAAGATGTCATTACGTGACAATAAGTGCATGCTCCTTGGTTTTACTACAAAAGAATACAACAAAAAAAAATATTTGAAGGAGGGTATTTGAGGTACAAGATGATTGTATGTTGTACAAGCTCTTCACAATGGAAATTTGGCAGAGGGCAATATTCTATCATGTGCTAATACAAGTCTAAATAGAAAATATGCTTGCTTATTCCTTTATTTAAAAAAAAAAAAATACTGCAATCCTCTTATAGTAATAGTAATTCCTGCAAAGCTTTGCATGTTCAAATAGCTCATGTGCATGACTGGCACCTTAGAAATCTGAGAAATTTAAGTAAGTGAATAGGCACAATACAGTTTGCAAACCTTAATCCCCCAACAGCTGTGGGCAAGCGGTATGGGAGGATTGCTCTCCTTACCACTGCAGGGACCATGGGTTTGGAGCAGCTGTTTCCTTTCCACAGAAAACATCTCCTTCATGGTCACAGCAGAAGCTACCATCACCTCCAAGGCAGGGATGCTGTTGGCACACACTGTTGGATGCTTCTGTCTCAGCAGATGGTAGCCCCTCAACTAAAGCATTTTTGGATTTCAGTAGAAATTACTTCCTGCTTCACCTTTGCCTTATGGCCATTTTGTTTCTAGCCTCAGATCAGGAAGCTGTTTGGAATCATCCGTTGATACAACACTTGCCTTCTCCAAAGTGCTCTTTCACCACAGCTTTTCAATGAATTCATTTCCCTCCCAAGAAGCAAGCATTAAAAATCCAGTCCCACAAAACACTGCGGGAGAAGGTCAGCAGGCAGCTGGGATCTGCCTCCATATTCCTCCTTCTATTCTGCCTCTCCATTCAGGCTGAAAGCCACCAAGGGTTGGTATCTGTGAGTGTCCCAGCTCAGGTCCTCTGCCATGGTCTTCTCTCTCTCCTTAAATAAAATGGCATTTTCACCTGTAAGAGCTTTTCCCCCAGGTCCCATGGGAAAAATAAGACTCTTTTTTGTCATCAGACCAGAGTGATATGAGATAACTCACACCCAAAGAACTTCTGTATTCCTTTCTTGATTTCCAGGTAGGAAAAATAAGAAGAGTTCTCTTCAAGAAGTAACTCTCCATTTCTGCCTAAAAAATCCCTTATATTAGAGTTAGCAACCAGAACACCATAATCTCTGTCTGAACTGTCTCCATTGTCGGATCACTACCAATGGCTTATCAAAGAACATTATTTATATTTTTTTAATTAATGGACATCGCCTTTAGGGAGTAGAATACAAGGAGAGTAGTCAGATTATGTATCACTCAGATTGCAATCACTGGAGTTATCACCTTCTGTATGTAAACTCACCCTATGTGGTGTCACATACATCAAATTCTGTCTCTCCCCACTCCCCCCTGCAAGATACTCGCTGAAGGTTTGGGGTGTTTCAAGACACAAGTTGTGAGTAGGCCATTTCCTTTCTAGCTCTTTATGCCTTTAAAGACTATGGTATCTGAATTTTTTGTCTTGTGCCCAAGTATGCTATAAGAAATATCAAATCGGGAGTTTGTGCCAGTGAAAAACCCAAATCAGACTAAGGTTCTCCTGCAGTCACAGACACATAGGTGTGGCAGGTGTGTGTTAAGGTGTCTGCTTTAAAGAAGTATTTAATTCTGTGAAGAAATCAGCCTTACAGTTAAAACTCATGTGCATGTTGGGTGTTCAACTCTATGCTCTGAATGAGGCAAAGTCTCTTTTTCTGGCATCCACAGGGATCAGCCCTAATTACTAACTCATTAATTGTTCTGGTAAGGTTTCTGTAAACCCTAAGATTTTCCCTTTTTGTAAGTTGAAGTTCAGGGAGGATTTTTAGTAGAAAGAGATCCTCTGCTCCTAGAAATGCAGGCACACCTCCAGCCATTCTGACCCTCAGATCCTTCCACTTTCCAGGGGGGTTCACTCCTTTTTCACTTGTGTCAGCTTGGCTGGCTGCCAGCTGGCAGAGCACTTGGATGCGTATGTAAAGAAGCATAGTGAAGAAGTGAGCGTGGTCTCCACCCAGCTGTAGGATGTTCAGAATCTAGGTGTTTCAGTACATTAAATAGTCTCCCACTATTTCGTGGGCTGAACTTGCTTGTTCTTCTGTCTGTAGGACAGGAGTCATCTTCTTGACTGCCTTGCCTATTTTGCTGAAGGAGGGCCTCTATTTTTCAGGTTTGAGATGCCATGATGAATGGAGAGGTTCTGTGATGAGAAAACAAAACCAAAAACCTGGTTCATTGCAATACTGCCATTTAAAAATGTCCTAATTTTGAAGACATTTGAACATTTGAAATATACTCTGGTGTTGTCTCAAGCGCTGCATAAAAACTTTGCTCTCTAAGGAGGACAAATAGTAATTCCTAATGCTCTTCAAGTGGGGCCTGGGCCTTTGTAGTTACTCCAGCTTTTATGTGCCTGTGACTGAAGAAAGTCTCCCAGCTCCCCCTTGTGTGGATGCTTTACTCCTGCTATGTCAAGCAGAAAACAACTGTGATTTGTGCTGCTTTTGATCAGGCATTTCTACAATGCTTTGCTGTTGGAAAGCAGAGTAATACTGTCACAAATTTTAAATTAACAAAATATGCCTAGAAGGGATTGGTAGCTCTTGTTTGTCTGATTAATGTCAGACTTGTAAAGCCCGTTCTCCGACAAAAAGGGCAGCGAATGCTCAAGTGAGAGATGTTAGAGACAGAGACTCTCCAAGTTTAGTGGATCTTTGTGGTTTAGTTACAATCTCTTAGTGAAGCACCCAGGACCAAATCACAAAATGAACCAGCATCAAGGGAGTTGAATCAGGTTGTATCTGTGTTCACTTTTAATTAGATTTGAAATGGTTATCCCACTGTAGTACAGCAAGCAACCAAGGCCTCCCCTCAGGCCTTATTACTGATGAGCTTAGCATAGCTCTGCATATTCAGCAGCCAAGTGGATAGGTTTCATGTATTGGGAAATACAAGCAGGATTTGAAAAACTCAGGATATCTTTTGTATAACTCAATTTTTGCTCTCAGAGTTGGGGAGTGGGGGACTTTCCTTTCTAAAATGTCCATATTCTGGCAGGAGTTGTTTGATGCAGCTTTTGTTTAATAGGTATTGACTTACAATAATGTTTTGCTGCTCAACGATGGAGTGAAGGCAGAACTGGTAGCAAGTACATTCTGTGCCACCTGGTGTATTTTTGCGGGTTTATTTTTCCCTTATGTACATTTCTGTTCCTTCAAAATGTGCTCTGAGTCATTTCCTATTTCAGCATTCTGTCTATCTCACCTAATTCAATTGTAAGCTTTTCTGGGCAAGGACCATATCTGGATTCTGCTTTCAAGTTTTGTTATGCAGCAGTTCTGCAATGTATCGCTTAAAAACATCATGATAAGGGAAAGAACTTAACTTATCCACAGGGATTTGACATGTGAGAGGAGCGTGTCCTGATCTCCCAAACTTTCAGCAATACAGTTTCCACAAGCACTCCTACCTCCATGTGCTCCACCCCCATTGGAAATTATGTGTGGTAGGAGCTTTTGCTTAGGTTTTCTGTTAGATGGGAAGAGGTTGATTCTGTATTTCACTTTATCATTTTCACATTTGTTTCTCTTTCAGGTGTGAACAGAAAAGTAACCTATTCTCTGGCAGACTCTGCAAATGGTTACTTCTCAGTTGACCGATCATCAGGAATCATTATTTTGGAGCATCCACTTGATAGAGAGCTGCAGTCTTCCTATAACATCAGTGTAAAGGCCTCAGATCAGAGCATTGTGCTGACCTTGTCCTCGTTTGCCACTGTTACCATTACAGTGCTAGACATCAACGACAACCCCCCTGTGTTTGAAAGAAGAGATTATCTTGTTACAGTACCTGAAGACACCTCACCTGGCACTGAGGTCCTTTCTGTTTTTGCTACAAGCCAAGACATTGGTACTAATGCTGAGATTGCCTATCTCATCAGATCAGGGAATGAGAAAGGGAAGTTCAGGATTAACTCAAAAACAGGTTTGTAAAGTGGCTTTTACTTGTAATGCAAAATAATAGCAACAGAAAAACAGCTATGCTTTGAGGAAGGGTCTTGGACCAAAAAATTTCCAAGAACAGAGACTCAGAGCTTGTCAATTGTAATTGTGGAATTAGTTGCACAGTTAAAAACCAATTTTAGCTTGGAGAGTAATGTAAATTACAGTCACACTCAGTTGTCCCTGCTCGAGTGGAGAGTACTTTTCTCGATTAGTATGCCTGTAGAAGCCAATGTAGATGTGACGACCCATTAGCCAAACTGTGAAACCCTTACAGCTATGAACAGTTTCAATGTTTACCAGCTTACCAGCTGATGATTACAGCCTCAACTATCTGGGCCATAGCAAGCATCAGAGAGTGCTATCAGGACCAAATACCTGCCAGCCCTAACATGTGATTGCTGTTTATACAGCTGTATGCAACTTTACTGACTTAAGTTGCTCCTGATCTGTGTTTTCTGACAGTTGACTTCAGACATGGTTTGGGGTTGAGTTTTTTTTTTGGTTATACATCACAAATTTTAAAAATGTACTGCCGCTTCTCTTTAAGAAATGCTAAGAAAAGCTACCTTATTTGGTGCAAATGTTTTATTTTCTTTGAATTTCCTTGGTTGGGATATATTCTTTATCCTTATTGAGGTTTTAATCCATCAACAGTAAGCTGTGATTCTTCTGTGCTTCCTATAGTGGATCCTCTTATAACATTCAGGATGACCAGTACTAATCTACCATCAGAGCTTCAGAGCAAAACAGTCTTGATTTTGAAATCTGAATCTAACACTTGTTTGAGTGCAGCTGTAGTAGCCAGCAACCTGGAAAATCTCAAAATGATGCATTGTATCATTTGTATTAGTATGTGCAAAAATCTCTTTCCGTTCCGTGGAGGCTACTGCTTTACATGTTAGGGACTTAACGTAATTGTGTGTTGTCTGTTATCTTCATAATGTTGATTAGTGCTAACAAAATTTAAACATAAATATGCCTAGACAGCGATACTTAACTTCACATTTGACAATGAAGCCAAGGTGATAAATCAATAAAAACCCATAATGAAGCTTAATCACACAGGGAAAAAAAAGCCTAAACTATTTATTATTCATTAATGTGTGACAGCTCCATTATTATCAGTTCAGAGGCAGGAGCTCAGTTTCCAGACAGCCGGGTGCTGATACAGCATGCCTGATCAGGTCTTGAAAAATAATGCCCTTCACACCATTTATCAGTGGGAACTCTCTGCTAGCCACTTGGAAGCTTCAGGGTTCCTGCTTCCAGCAAGTCATGCTGAAAGGTAGGATCCATCTGGAGAGAGCCCAGACAAGATTAAGAAGGATGATCCAATGTCTGTAAAATGTGGCTTACCAGCAAAAACTGAAGGAATTGAGGCTATTTAACTAGAAAAGAGGAGACATGCTGTTAGTATTCAAGCCTGTAAAAAGCACCTATGAAGAGGAGGGGAATAAACTCCATGCCTACTCATGAGGAAAGAAGTTGTGAATGGGCTTAAATTGCATTTGGATTAGCTCGGTTAAATGATAGGATGAAATTCCTAACTGTAATGGTTATTAAGTACTGAAATACATTTCCTAAGAAGGTTAGGAAACTGATGATGTTGGAGGCTCATAGGAACATCAGAAATGAGTACATTCAAGAATGATTAGGTTTAGCTGACCTGTTTTGGGCAGCAGTTGGACTAAATGACCTTTAAGCCACACAACTCCCTGCTCCTGATGGGTCTACATTGAGAAGGATTTGGCTGCCAAGGTTAAGGATTTGCTTTTCAGTCTTTCCTACCATGCTCAGCATTGCCTTCTTCAAGGCATCACTAGTAATCTGTGCACAACCCACTCCACTCCCCCTTTCTTATTAAGGTTACGGGTACGTGGGAAACAAGTGGAGGGCTTGCATAAGAATTATCTCTGCCCTATAGGGATCTAGGTGCACAGAATGAATCAAGTTACAGAGAATCTTAGTTTTGATTGTCTGATGAGAGAGCTTAGAATTTATAAACCTAGTTGAGTGGGGAAGTCCCTGTTGAATCACGTAAGTGATAGCTGATCTCGCAAAAAGTGTTAATAACCCATTCATTTGTATTTAATTCATGAGAAGTTAATTACATGGAAGTGATTTTCTGTTGACTTGTCAGGGCTGATTTCCAGAGTCAGCATACTTGTTTTGGTTTGGTTTTGTTTTGTTTTGTTTTGTTTTTCCCTCTGTGCATGATCCCAGGTAAATGGGGTGGGTATGGCTCCCTCTTCTCCATCTGCAATACTCATACAATAAAAGCTGTTTTCATGAGAAAACATTCATTGCTTCATACCTCATGAAGGTCCTTTCTGTGGAGGCAGCCCAAGTTCAGCTGGCATCATTCTTTAATCAAACAACATCAGTAGAAACCTGACCAAATATTTTTATCCGATTGTGCAGTATGACAGTTAGAACAACATGTTTTGTATGTGGTGCACGGTGATAAACAGCATGCTGTACTGTTTACTACAGTCAAATCCCTTAGTCTGTAGCATGACATGGTTTTCACTAGATGTTGACATTCCCTCCCTTGCTTCAAAGGGGTGATTTCCATTTTTGAGGCTTTGGATTATGAGTCGTGTAAGGATTTCTACTTAGTAGTGGAAGCCAAAGATGGGGGCACTCCGGCCCTGAGCGCCGTTGCGACGGTGAACGTGAACGTGAGCGACGTGAACGACAACGCGCCCCAGTTCAGCCAGGCGGCCTACAGCGCCGTCATCAGCGAGGACGCCGCCGTCGGCGACTCCGTCATAACGGTGAGCAGGGCCCTGCCTGGCACTGAGGGGGCGCAACGCCCCTTGCCACGTGACCTTCAATAACGTACTGCTGCAGTGGTTAGTAATGAGAACTGCTCTTTCTTTTTAACCCCAGTATGCTGTCAAAGGGCAATGACATATTCCAGGCGTTGCATTTCATGAGTCAGCTAGAAACAAGTGGGTTTTATCGGAAAGGCAGAATTCATCTTTTCAGTGAAAAGTATTAGTGTAGTATGGCTTGCAGGATGCCATACCTGAATCTCACAATACTCTCATCTTGGAACTTGTAGGTACAGAAAGAAAGTGTTATATGGAATATTAAGATTAAAATATTGTGTATGTTTTAAGGCTAGGATTTTGAAAAGGTTCAATGGGAGCCTCCTGTCAAAAACTGTTTGGCTTGATGCTGTAGAGATGTGCTGTTCAGATGTAAGTAGTCTGGTGGAATATGAAGTCTTACTTTTGGAGTGTTGAGCAGTTAATGTATCATATAGATGGCTAAAGATTTGTTTTGCTAATTTTCACTCTTCTCTCAAATAAGTTGATAGCAGAAGATCTGGACAGTCCTCCCAATGGCCAAATTCATTTTTCCATAGTGAATGGGGATCAAGACAATGAATTTTCAATTGATCCTGTTCTGGGACTCGTGAAGGTTAAAAAGAAATTGGATAGAGAAAGGGTAAGACATGTGGGACTTCTTAACTCTACAATGACTTACAGATGTGCATTGATCTCAAATCTACTGCTAGCTTGTTTTGAAGAAGCTTCTTTATACTCTGCAACAATCAGCTTAAGAGGTTGCAACAGGTCTTCTTAATATTGTTCCACTTCTTCCCACCCCAGCCCTATTCCCAATCCTATCTGCAAGCCAACTGCTCTGCTAGCATTCCCATCCTGCACCCACATGGCAGCTGAGGTGAGATCGGGGGAAAACACAGCCCTAGATTTCTCCTGTGGTGCCAGGGGCAGCTGTTGCTGTGTTAATGAGCTGCCTCCTGGCGCCTGCATGTGCGAGCACACACGTGCAGCGGTGTGTGCAACCCCCTGATTACAGCATACTCCAGACTGTGGCACCAAGCACCGAGCTGAGACCTCAGCCATTAATTAGCGCTCTGCAAAACATGTCACTGGGGAGGTGATGTTATGAAGTGGCCAGGCTGCACCAAAAGTAAAAGAGTGCTTCATTAAACAGATTCTGCTGCTTTGTTTGCTCACTAGATTATTCATTCGGGTTGATTTATCACCATTTTACCATAGCTAGCAATTAGCAGCTTTTGGGAAAAAAAAATAAACAAGTGCAGTTGCCTGTGCTACTAGCAGGGTAGAAGAGTGCTGTGTGGCTTCAAAAGTCTTGCAACACTTAATGACAATCCATGCCTCCTGCCTCCGAGAAAGGCACCCACAAAACTGGCAGAGCTGATTTCTAGCCTCAGAATATGGGCTCAGCTGGAAAAGCTGTCTACTGGAAGCAGGGCTGGTGCTAAAAACAGAGGCAAATATCCTTTCTGTATTATCACAAAGGTAGGATTAAACTGCCAGTGTTTGGTGTCAGAATGACTCTACCACAGACTGTCGAGGACAGGGAAGTAGCAATGGCTGGCGTGTTACAAATTTGCTGCAATATATTTCCCTTAAATAGCACAGGCTCAATTTCTTAATATTTCTTAATAGTTCTGAAGTGCAGTCATGTGCACCTACGTTCAGAGACACCTGTTAACCTTAACCATTAACCACATGTGCATTTTTAATGCCAGCTCTGTTAAATCTGAATTTTCCAAAGTTTCCCTTAATTAAAATAATCTGTGATACTCTTTTTCGTTGCATTTTTTTTTCCTAGAAACAGGTGTCTCTGACCCCTTCAGGGGAAATGATACATGATGCCCCAGCTGCTGTAGATCCCTTAAGTAAGTCACTGCTGACTCCCAGGTTACAGTGGTTTAAGGAAACTCATTTCCAGAGCTGTAATCGCGTAAAAACCATGACTTTTGCCATCCACCTTTCTAGGATACATTGAAATAAAAGCAAAAACACACAGAATTTGGGAAAGAGCCCACAAAAGCATCAGTCTTGTTTTTAGCTAGAAGTAGAATTTACAGCTTGAAAGGGAGAAAAAAAATGAATCATTCTTTGCCTCAATTTCTTGAATTTCCATGATGCAGGATTCCTCCTCCCTCTAGTGTCACAATGTCCCCATCAAATCGCAGTCTTTCTCCTCCCCTCCCACACACACCCCAAACTGTTTTCTTTTGCTTTAGGCTGGTCCCACATCCCAGAAGAGTTCTTTGTTTCATCCGTTTAGCCTGTACTACTCCCTCCAACCCAAATGGCTTTTATTTTTCAAATGGCATTGGATTTCCTCCCACCCTGAAAAAGACCCTTTGATATTCTCTGTTTCCCCTCTGCATGGATGTGCTTGTTCCCTCTCCAACCCTGCACCAAAAGGCTGGAGCAAGGTTTTGCTCGCTGCCCTATAGAAGGATTCACAGGCAGACATGTCAGCAGCTTCCTCATGGGGAGTGATATACTGTAAAAAGCAGTTTTAAGACCCAAGGAGGCTGCCACAAGTGTGTGGTTCATGAAATGAAACCATCACCCGTAAGCTGTGCATAGACAGAACATTTGCAGATTGTCACAGGCGCTCACACCTCACGCACAGGCACATATGTGCGTGGAGGGCCCATGGGTGGTGCACTGAACTGCCCACGCTGTGCTGAGCAGTTTGTGTCTGTTGTAAGCAAGTAGGCTCAAAAAACCCTTCTCTTCTGCTGGATGGTAGATAATACCCTGTTGCTACAGAGACCGTTGGCTCTAGTAGTCCCAAATGTTTTCCAGTGTGCTTAAGCCAACTGCCTGTGAATTTTTTCATGGTACTCCCTCACCATGTTAGAAACACTGTGTCAAACGGAGGTTGGCTCTAATAAGCAATTTATATAATAACCTGGAAACCAACCATAAGGTAAATAGAGTCAGGTCACATGTCCCTAGAAGAGATTAAAATCTTAGCTACGGTGGTAATGGCTGAGTTTGGATATTATCCATCGTTTATTTTTTGTCTGCCGCTTTGCTTCAGGAATGCATCATCTCATGCAGTTATTTTAATACAGTGAAGCTGCTGTTATTGATAGCCTTATAAAACAGAACTTGGGATACAGTGTGGCAATAAACAGGATAATGTTATATTAAGGGCAGGGAAGGCAATGAGGCCGAGGAGTTTTCCTTAGAATATGATAGGTGGTGCACTGGATGTAAAGAACATGAGTTAAAATTTAGGACTGCTTTCACGACAATTTCATGTTTTGACCTTTTTACAGATATCTGGTTATTCATTAGTTATCCAGGCAAGAGACAGTGGCACCCCTCCTTTGTCTTCATCTGTGACAGTCAACGTGGACATTTCTGATGTGAACGATAATAGCCCTGTATTTACTCCAGCTAACTATACGGCTGTAATTCAAGTAAGTTTATCCTGAAGATCAAAACCTTCTCTGACTTTCAGAATACAAAAGCATTTGGTTTCAGTTAAGTACCTTTTGACGATTTATCTGCAAAAGATGTATCAAGTGATCTTATTTTAAGGAAAGTATAAACATGTCTTTCTTAAGTCTTTGGTAAGTTTCTCTTTGCTGAGGCTCCTTAACCTCAGCATCTGTCATACATTTAACCATTCATTCCTCTTGCACCAGGAACTCTGGCCTCAAAAAGTCTGAGCAGAGATGGGTTTGTGCTTTTTTACACCTCACTCAGGGTGTGAGCCTTAATGGTTAGTCCTGATCAGACTCAGGCAGAGCTCATTGGTCCCTGGAGATGTGGTGGGTACCTCCATCTCTGCTACCTGTCCATGGGGCAAAAGCAATCTAAAAGAAACACTGCTCCTGAAATGCCATCTTGGCAAAGAGCATTCAGTTGAATAATCTCAACAGCAAAACGTGGTATTTTATGATTGTGATATGTATCATTTTAATCCTTTTCTTTATACGCTGTGTATATGTGTAAAGGAAAATAAACCAGTGGGCACAAGCATTTTGCAGCTGGTAGTGACAGACAAAGACTCTTTTCACAATGGCCCCCCTTTTACCTTCACCATCCTCACTGGCAATGAAGAGGAGGAGTTTACACTGGACCCTCATGGTGTCTTGAGATCTGCAGTCATCTTCAAGCACATGGTCGCAACCGAATATGTGCTCTGCGTGCAGGTACAGCTTTCTTTTTGCATATACACAGAAACAAAAGCCCTCATAGTGATGGGTCATCTGTACATTGCCTGCATGGGTTGGTTTTAATTGACTGTGTTCTATGAGTAAATGCCATGCATTTCAGTTTGCAAGTGCACAACATGGTGTATTTCCTTTGATGTCCTTAAACTTAATTTCATATAAATATTTTCATATAAATATAAATAGGTAGCCAGCCACCTTTCCAATTTCCTCTGCATGAAATGGATTTTTTGAGCAGCAGCCGTTACGATTTAAGATTTTCATCTTTTTTTTTTCTGTAGCTAAGCGAGGAAAATAAGCAAAAATGCATTATATACATATAAATACACCACAGAACGAGTGACAGCAAAATATTGTTCTAGGAAGGAAAATCACTTCTGCTTTTAAGTCATAAATTTAATCATAAATTTTTGGAAGCCTACCAAGAATTCATGAAATCACATTTCCAAGGTCAGCTTAGCTTTTAAAGAATGTGAAAATAAGCCATGCAATAGAAGTCCAGCTCAAGCTTAGCTTTAGAGTCATTGTTGAGGAACCTTGTAACCACGGTAATTTTCATTACAAAAAAATTTAAGTCCAAAAGTAATTTGTCCACTTTTCTCAGGCCTGACAGAGAAGATGTAGTAGGGTTCAGTAAATATCAGAATCTAGGGAATGAACTACACCCCTTTGCTGAAACGGGACATAGTCCTATAAGCTAAATCTGAAATACAAGCTTCCTCCCCTTGCTTTGATGGGGTTAGTTTCTCTAAATACAGCCTATCTGCTCCTTTACAAGTACATTTAATGCTGCTCGTAATAGTAACATCCACCAGTTAGTTACAATTCAAAAAATATAAGCTCTGATGCTAATTAACGGTCCAAGTTTTACAAGCTTGATACTTAACATTCATGAAATCTATTTTTTGAGCCTTGTAGGAAAATAAAAAAAAAAATCTTACCTTTCATTCTTACCATAACTTTATCCTAAAATACCCTGCTTTCAGGGCAATTTGCTAGTGTAATTTCCAGTATAGCCAAAATTGGGCATGAGAATTAAATTTTAGCAGGATCCTCTAGTTATATAGATCCAAGTATGTAATATAAATGAAATATTAGATAGACCACAATATTAGATAGTCTGAGATGTACCAGCATATTCAGAAAACCATGCTGTTGGATTGTGGAGGCCATAATTCCTCCCAGTATTATTTTCTTTAGGGATTTCTGCAGTCAAAGCACATTTTATAGTTTCCTGTTGTGTATAGACCATAGATATGTTTCTTTCCATTCATATGTGCCAGTATGCTGCTTTCTCCTTTCCACCATCAAATTCCTCCTCTGTGTTAGGTTTATTAAAAAGTAATGTTAAAATTGAAGGTGGAATGGGATGTAAACTCTGTTCATAGACGTACGTTTGTGTGTGCACACATAAATAAAACCTTTTTTTTAAATACTCCACCCAGCTCTTTTAGGAGTGAGGATGTATGATTTTTAGAGTGTCTTAGAGTTACTAATACTTTTGTAGGAATGTCCATGTTACTGTTGCCCTCGTGCCTGTTTTATTCTTCAGCTTGTAAATTTTCCTCCTCATGTCCAAATACACTGATCTTTGAATGAGTGCTACCCAACATAATCTGCCAGTGGTCAATTAGTCTGGTGCTCTTCTCTGGAGCAAATAAATGTCTGGAGCAGTATATTTTAGTAGTGATTTCAATGAAACATTTTTCTTAGTGCGGGACAGGACTCTGATTCAAGTTTGCACACCTTTCTGTCAAGATGGCCTTGGGGTTTTTTTGTTATTCTTGCTCTTTTACTTTCTACAAAAAAGTCCAAATGATGCTATCATAAGTGCTCTGGGTCATACAGTCATTGGTCCAAGTGCAGTGCTGCTCTCACATTTTATATTTAAGAACAGCACAGGAACCCTATTTCATCTTTGGACGGTGATAAATTTTATTTATTTCAAGCCTGTTTCTTGATTGCTTCAGGTAAAGTAGTACAGAGCACCATGGAAAAACTCTGAACTCCCTCGCATCCACAAAAACTAAGCAGGGGCTGCAACATTTTGGAGCATACCAAGCAATACAGCAAGTGATGCTGGTTTTTCACTGAGCTTCAGTCTTTTTTCCAACATCGAAGTGAGCCCAAACTCCATTTGGTGCAAACATACCACATTCAGATGGATCTATTGTGAGGAGGACAAGTGATAGCTGTGGGATCCTGGGAACATTTCACTTTGAGTAATGAGACATTCTGCTGACACATTTCTCTCTGCAATCCACTTAGATGAGATATGTGTGCTTCCCTAAAGATTTTTTAAGTTCCACTGCTAGAAGTGGCTGAGACATTTCTTTACATATGTATTTTTCAGATGCATTTGGGAAGCTCTTTTGAGAGGTCTTCAGAATTCTTGATGCTGTGAAAATATATATAGCAAGAAATTGTGGTTGTTGGCTGTGTTACAGGTGGGTTTTATTTTGATATTTTAATTTTTCTTTTTTCTAAATTACATTAGGCAAAGGACTCTGGGAAGCCTCAGCAGGTTTCCCACACCTACGTGCAGGTGAGGGTTATTGAAGAGAGCATTCACAAACCGACTGCCATTCCACTGGAGATATTCATTGTCACCATGGAAGATGATTTTCCTGGGGGAGTCATTGGGAAAATCCATGCCACAGACCAGGATGTGTACGACGTCCTTACGTACACACTGAAATCCGAACAGAAAAGTTTGTTCAAGGTCAACAGCCATGACGGGAAGATCATTGCCCTTGGAGGGCTCGATAATGGCAAGTACGTCCTGAACGTCTCTGTCAGCGACGGCCGGTTCCAGGTCCCCATCGACGTCGTGGTCCACGTCGAGCAGTTGCTACAAGAGATGCTGCAGAACACAGTCACCATCCGTTTTGAGAACGTTTCCCCAGAAGACTTTGTGGGCCTTCACATGCACGGGTTCAGGCGTACCTTACGAAACGCAGTACTCTCCCAGAAACAAGACAGCCTACACATCATCAGTATTCAGCCAGTGGCAGGCAGCAGTCAGCTTGACATGCTGTTTGCAGTCCAGGTGCACAACGGCGCGTTCTATAAGCCTGCCTATTTGATTCAGAAGCTTACCAATGCAAGGAGACACTTGGAAAATGTGATTCGTATTTCTGCTATCTTGGAGAAGAATTGCTCTGGGCTGGATTGTCAGGAGCAGCACTGTGAGCAAAGTCTGTCTATCGATTCGCATTCCCTGATGACCTACAGCACGGCGCGGATCAGCTTCGTGTGCCCCCGCTTCTACAGGAGCGTGCGCTGCCTGTGCAACGGTGAGTCCCGCCCGCCGCCCCGACAGGGCCCCTGTGGCTCCGCTGATGCAGATTAGAAGGGGCATTTCAATTCAGTCCCTTAAAGCATGACTGGCTGATGTATTGTGGGAATTGATTTCTCAGGCTCGGGAAGAATTGTTCATGTTTACTGATGTAAATGGAAGTTGATGAACTTTGGCCTTTTACGACAAAGACGGCTTTCCTGGAGGTTCCGTAATCAGAGCCATCACCACCTTCCAAGGGAGGGGAAGGGAAGGGAGAGGAAGGCGGAGGAGGGAGAGGGATGTCGTTTCCCAGCCCCTCGGTGCCACCGCTGGCAAAAACACGGAGTGTGACCATAGCAGAACAGCCTGGTCTGCAGCAGTGCACCAGCAATCCCCAAGGAAAAGGACCCCTGACCCACACAGTGAAGGTGGAAAGGCCTTTTCCAATTTCATTTTTGCAGAGGGGCATAGAAACCAAGGAAGTAATTTATTAACTGTGAGCAATAACTATTCCTAGCTTTCAGTGCTCCAGTAGGTGACAGGGTGGGGTTTTGGCTGGGTTTCAGGCTGTTCCACGTTTTGGCAGAGATTTCACATGGGCATATATGACAGATAGACTTGAAAGTCAATCTTCCTCCTGCTTTTGCTCTCGGAGTATAAAACCTCAGGCAGTCATAATAATAGTTCTGTTTCTTTTGTTTACCAGCCTATTTGCTCCTCATTCCACTTCATTTAAGAGTGGAGAACAAAATCTGCCGTAAAATCGATGCATTGAAGTCTCTCTCATCTTAAAGACACACGCACGTGTACACACAGAGCAGCACCAGAATTCAGCAGCCATGTCTCAGTAACCAACCTTTGTTTCTGCAGCAGTCAGCAGGACTCTGTGTCTTACCATCCGCTTCAGTGGGAATGAAAATAGGCATAAATTACATAAAACTTAACCAGAACTCATTGTCTCCTGTGGCACATGAATAATAATGCCACAGACATTCAGTTCTGCAAAAACATCAGAATTCTGTATCTGAGGTGTTTTCATGTACATTTAAGAGCAGACTATCTGGTCAATTTTTAAGTAATAGCATTGTGAGTTTCAAACAGATGTATCTATTATAACAGCAGCTGGTGTTTTGTTACACATAAAAGGCTCTGAAGTAAAGGATTTTTCACAGGTTTAAAAGAGACAGTGCTGCAATATCCTCCAGACGAGTCCAGGAGCCAGTGCAGAAGCGCTGTCTGCAAAACACTTTTCTATTCTCTAAGTCACAGCTTTGCCTCATTTTCGTACCAAGAAATCACAAATCCTCATCTCCATGGGGACAGCGATAGCCCTCACTGTCAGAAATTGCTTTTCTGGCAGCCAAAATTTTCACTGTTTATAATTTCATTTCACTGCTTACTAAAGTCAATAATGATGTATTAGTCCCTTCAGATACTAATAGTAAGTGGATCTGCATCATAATCCCTTAGTTTAACGCAAAAAAAAAAGGACTTTGCAATGCAGTACAGCTCTGATCCAGCAACTCTCTCCCTTTTCTTCCTTGCATGCAGGTTAGCACTGGAAGCACAGAAATGCAACTGGGCCAGTGGTTTCCAAACTTTTCTGTCATGTACCTGTCAATCCTTAAAATGTCCAGCAGGCTCCCAGAAAGCCACTGTGGTTTTGCAGGCTCAGTGGTCCTTAGCCTCTGGACCATTTATCGTGGCCTTGAAGACTGCTGTATGGGGACAGCTGGAAACAGGCAGCTTGTCCCGGTCCAACTGGAAAGCTGGATTCCAGCTGGACCCACAGCTCCCACTCAAGCCACTGTGTGATTTACCACAGGTGATCCACAAGACTTTGGGTGGGTTGTGCATGTCCAGTCCACCATCCAGCCTGTGACACTGTCCAGAGCTGCTGGTTTAGCTACCAGAGAGGGGAAAGCCTTGGTGTCTATTAGTTATACAGAGATAAGGAATCTTGGTGGGAAGTAAAAAACCCAGGCTTTGCTTTTCTCTGCATCAGTTAATGCTTCAGCCTCCTCTACTGTTTTTAACTAAAGGAGACACAAGACATGTCTTGGTATTTAGGTAAATATCCACACTATGTTTTGTCTCATAGGAGGGTAACATGGACTCCTGAGGGTGTATCAGTATGTCTAGTTTTGCTTTCATGAAGGCTAAGGACTAGGCCTAGCAAAAGAATTAGAGAAATGCAAATACTTGTTTGATCAGTAGTTCTTGTACATGCACATAAACGCAGCAAGTCAGGAGAAAACACACAAAACACTAGAATAAATTTATTTTGTCTTGTTTAACAACACAGCATTAGCAAGGTATTATCAATATAATTATTTTATTATTTATTTTATATATATGATAGATATATTCAAATTAAATATATAT